ACATGGCTAGCCAGTTTTCCCAACATCATTTTTCAAACAGGGAATCTTTTCCCCATTGCTTGTTTTTGTCAGGTTTGTCAAAGATGGTTGTAGATGTGTGTCATTGCCTCTGAGGCCTCTGTTCTGTTCTATCGGTCTCTATCTCTATTTCGGTACCAATACCATGCTGTTTTGATTACTGTAGGCTTATAGTATAGTTCAAAGTCAGGTAGTGTGATGCCTACAGCTTTGTTCTTTTTGCTTAAGATTGTCTTGGCTATGCGGGCTGCCTTGTGGTTCCACATGAAGTTTAAGGTTGTTTCTTCCAGTTCTGTGGAGATGGCCATTGGTAGTTTGATGGGGATAGCATTGAATCTATAAATTACTTTGGGCAGTATGGCCATTTTCACAATATTGATTCTTCCTAACCATGAGCATGGAATGTTTTACCATCTGTTTGTACTCCTTTATTTTGTTCATTGCTGGACTGTTTACAATAGCAAAGACTTAAAACCAACCCAAATGCCCATTGATGATAGACTGGACAAGGAAAATGTGCCACATATACACCATGGAATACTATGCAGCCATAAAGAATGATGAGTTCGTGTCCTTTGTAGGGACATGGATGAATCTGGAAACCATTCTCAGCAAACTGACACAACAGAAAATCAAACACAGCATGTCACTCATGGGTGGGTGTTGAACAATGGAACACATGGACATAGGGAGGGGAGCATCACATACTGGGGTCTGTTGCGGGGGGAAGGGGAGAGACAGCAGGGGGTAGGGAGGTTGGGGAGGGATAACATGGGGACAAATGCCAGATACAGGTGATGGGGAAGGAGGCAGAAAATTACATTGCCATGTATGTACCTATGCAACAATCCTGCATGATCTGCACATGTACCTCAGAACCTAAAATGAAATTATATATATATATATATATATATATATATATATATGTGTGTGTGTGTGTGTGTGTTTTCCTTGCTTAGCCAAGAACAAATTTCTGAAGAAATCAATGAAGACTTCCTGTTTCTGTGAAGCTCAAGGCTTCTCAGAAACACTTAAAATTTAAATTGTGATCTTTTTCCCCCATGTATCAACTCTATTTGTCAACAAAAACTTTTCTAAGGTTTGCACAGTTGGACAACGTATAATTAGCTGCCCCAGCCACACAGAAGGTAGGAAAGAAAAGCCCAGGTATGATAATTTGGAACTTAGATCAGTATAGACTCAATCAGGGTTCACTGACTTTGCTCCTCCAACAGATATTACCTGAAACAGACAGCAAGGAAAATTAGATAATTGGCAAAAGGAAATAAAATATTCCTGACATTTTATAAAGGTGAAACAATTTTGAAGCAAAGTTATTCGCTGGATGATGCTGCTTCTTCGTTGAACTGGAGCCCAATTTAGGAGACAGACAGGCTGCATTTACATTGCAACATAAACCCAAGGGTTACTAACTTTTTTCTTTCCTTTTGCATACAAGTAACTCTATCCTCCACTTAAACTCTTATTGCCTTCCTTACATTGATACCCTTGATATTCTTAACCTGCTAATGTGTTCACATCCTTAGTTATTACAATTGTATAGCATTTCTTAAAGATAATATAAAGAATATTGGATATGAAAAAAATAGAACCTTAGGAAAACATTTGAAAAGACCTATGCTAAATACTAAATCATATAATGTAAGGCTTTTCTGGTTTATTAGAAAAGAATGCACAATGACCTGCCCACACTGTTAACATTCAACATGGTATAACATAATCAGAATTTCCACTTGTCATTTACATCCAGCAGTCTCAATGTCACAGAAACTATGTTATTTGGTCAATATTTTAGTTGTATAATTTTATTTCTTTTAACATTAAATGTCTTTCTGGGCTCTGAACATTATTCTGAACAGTTTGGATTCCAAAGAATGAAAATATCAATATCATTCTAATTTTCTCTAAGAATAACCAAGAAATAATTTCCCACATAGGAGGCAGCCAATTCAAAATTGTAAAGTTTAGAAAAATAGAGGAGCTAATGATAATAAACAGCTCCATCCTTTTTCTCTTTAATATCTACTTGAAAGGTAAAGAACACTGTAATTTTTTTTAAAAAAAAGGTATTATCATTATTCATCACCAAGCGTTCATAGACTGCTTGCTACTCATGTAGGAAATTATGGGAGGTTATGTGAGAAATGCAGGCCATCACTGGTTTTAAGGAGTTTGTAGTTGACTTGAGGCAGACAAAAGCAAAATTAAGGAATAATTAAATTCTGCCTCCTGAGGCAGTTATGACAAGTACACTAGAGTTTCAAAGGTGAAGGAATACCTTACAAATGACTTTGTCAGAATAAGCCTTCTCAAAGAAGAAAGGACTTTGAATCTACCTGGAAGAAAGTGAGGGATTTAGAAAGCAGAGGACAGTTTCAGGTGGAATATCAGAAGACTCTAGGACGTTTGATGTTATTGCAATCGCAAAGACAGAAGTGGAAGGATTGAGGATCTCAACAACTTAAAATGTGGTTGTCGGGAAATACAATAAAGTGGTTAGCCACATTGTGGAGATCCACTGGGCAGTGCTTGCCGGCAACTGAGAAGAATGTGGTTTGTAATGGTGCTTGACTGCCAGTGCTGTATTTTTGACTACTTAACTCATTTTGCCTAGCTGCAAAAATGGGGAAGAAAATTTCTCTTATCTAAGAATTAATGTGAAGCTCAAGAAATAATAAACATGAAAGTGTTTTGGAAGCCAAAAACCATTTATACCGTAATAATTCATATTACGTTATACTGTGGTATAATGACCAAAATAGGATTGCTTTAGACAGTTAAACCTTCAGGCTATCAGGATGCTGATACCATTGGATGAATTGTTCTATTTTAGTTGGGAACAAAACAACACAGGGTTTTTCTCTGCAACTGGATGCAGTGCAGGTAACACAAGTGGCTTTTGTTTAAACTGGTGATAAAGAGGCAATTACTGTTAAAGTGCTGAGTCTTCAGTGGTTCTTGGTGCTGTCATGCTCAGCACAGAGGACCTTTCGACCATCCACGTTTGTACAAAGCCAACATCTGAGATGCCTACATGGGAGCCAGACATAGGCAGTGGGCCAGAGTGATTTCCATGAGAAGCCAGGTTAAGTGATATATTGCTTCCTGATTAGATTGGGCAACCCAGCAGCCCACTTCTAGTGAGGACTTTCTATCACCTGCTTGTCAGCTGAAGAAATATTTTTTTCTTCTTGTGTTCCATCAAAAAGCTATGGTGAATTGATTCAGAGTGCAAACCAGGTGAGATATATACATTTATAAGACCATCAGTAAGAATTGGTAATCTTGTCTCATGATCCCTCTCTAATTTCACCATTTGGCGCCAAAAACAAATTTATATGTTCACTTAGGTTTAAAGCAGCTTATTTAGAACTAACCTAAACACATGCACACACACACACACACACACAAGATGTAAAAATCAATAACCTATGTAATTAAACAATTTTTTTAAACAAAGTCTTATACTGTGATTTATTCCCTGTGGTTAAGTTGAATTTAATTGCCCAAGATTTTTTTAAAGTCTTACCACTTCAATAAGGCTTATCTTTGGTCTTTAGATACATGCTAATCTCTAAAATGTCAATATACTAAATCTGCAGGCTGTTTTCTACAGATTACTACTCTCCAGAAAGATGAAGGATTCCATCTGCTGAGTTACCTATGACGCTGATGGTGTCAGGAAGCTGCGAAAACTTCTCTTTTAGCTTCCCACAGAGTAAGGACCATACCACCCAACCTTCCTCAGCCAGTGAATTTCTTAAGTTTACTTCCAGAATAACAGTTGTAAAGGTCTATGACACCTCCTTCTTGCTCACAAATGGAGATGATGGGTGGGGAGTTAATAAAATTCCCGGTATCGTAGGAGACAAGTAAAAGACTTGTGTTTTGTTACCGGTTTCTCATTGCCATCATGTTTACTGATTACCTTTGATGGTCTGCTGTGAGGTCAAGGGTCTTCAGAACCAGCCAGGAGGGGATCTAGTTAGATATATGTGAAGGAAAGCCTATGTGCCAATTCAGTGCCATAGCCATGCCTGCCATGGTGCGAGAGAGTAGAAGACGCTTAAACTTCAGTGCTTTAACTCCTTCACAGATAATAGAAGGAGAGAGGGAGAGGAAGCTGGAAGCTACTTCATCCTTCAACTTCAGGCGGCAGTGCAGGGCTCACTGGTGACTACAGCAGGTCTGTGGAAACAGACTTTGTCACCAGTAATCATGAAGCTAGACGGTTCAGAAGCCTGTGGGGAACATTCCTCCCCCATGAAGTTGTTTGGGGGAAAACAGTGGATGCTGTTGTCCTGTCAAATTGAGGCAAACCCCTAAAAGAAGTTTTCACAGAGTCCCTCAAACTCATCATCCTCCCACAGCATCTCCAAATGGTGTCAAATACCCACCTAGGGGTTGGCCCAGAGCTGGGGCAGGCCTGGGCTCCCTGGCAAGCTTTAGTGGGTGCTCACTGTACTATACCTCACCCCCAATAAGGCCAAAACCTCTTCAAATTCAATAGCACAGCAACTGCCAAAAGTACATTTTCTTCCACGGCAATTTGCTGGGTGATTTCGGAAGATTTTTGTTTTAACTACCTGGACACACATATACTTGCTATACTACAAGTAGAGAATTCTCAGTAAGTGGACTTACACACCAAAGAAGGTGGACTGTGGGGGAGTTAAAACTCAATGGTCCTTTCAGGTCACTGACTTCAAGTGGCAATAGAGACACAGTCTCTTGTTATCATATTATCTTGGCTTCTAAAACTGGCTGAAGTCCAGAGAATCATAAAGTCATTCAAGAAACCTAGAATGACCTCCCTGCAAGGAAAAGAGGAAGGACTTTCCGTTTAGAGCAATTCTAAACATGAATAACATTTCCTGAATAATAGTAATAATAATTAGAAAGGATTGACTTTTAGAAATTTTACTCATATCAGAGCTCCCACTACTTTGGTTCCATCTTTTCTCTCTAGAAGGAGAGGAGGAGCATCTCCCAGAGCCTGTGTGCGTTAGAAAAGCCGGCATCCCTGGCCACCTCAGGCCGGGGAGATGAGACCCTGATGAATCTCTGCTCCCTTCTGGCTGGAGCCACAACTCCCTCCATCTCGGGGCAGGGCTACCACGTCCTCCTCCATAGGGGTGCAGGCAGCTTCTCCCAGCCACCCTCCTCCCCAGTTCCCATCATCTGGCCCCTCTCCACCAACCTCTTCTTTCCACACTGCCCCCCGAGTTCAGGGAATTTCCCCAGCATCCCAAAGCTTGAGTTTCCTGTCAGGCGGAAGGGATGAGTGCAAATAAAAGGAGTGCGGAAGGCAGGAGGAAGACACAGTGCTCCGGATCCCCCAATCTCTGCGCCTCCAGGAACTCGCGCCCCCTCGCAGCGCTCTCTTGACCGCTATGAGCCTCCAGTCCAGCCGCGCGGCCCGTCTCCCCGGTCCTTCGGGCTCCTTGTGCGCGCCGCTGGCGCTGCTGCTGCTGCTGCTGACAGCGCCTGGGCCCCTCGCCAGCGGTGAGAGCGCAGGGCACGCGGGACGCACTGGGGCACAGCGGTGCATCCCAGCCTCTGCGGGGCCGCTGCTTTCCAGGAAATTCTCCCAGCAACCTGCGCTATAAAGGTGTCTCTCTTTCTTCCTCAGCTGGTCCTGTCGCTGCTGTGTTGAGAGAGCTGCGCTGCATTTGTTTACACACTACGCAGCGAGTTCCCCCCAAAATGATCAGTAATCTGCAGGTGTTCGTCCCAGGCCCGCAGTGCTCCATCGTGGAAGTGATGTAAGTTCTCCTGTGTTGCTGTGTCCACTGTGACCTTGGCAAGAGAGAAGTCCCCCAGCCTGGGTCTTCAACCTTGATGTTTCATGAGTGCATCTTCTTTTTCTTTCCTTCAGAGCCTCCATGAAGAACGGGGAGGAAGTTTGTCTTGATCCAGAAGCCCCTTTTCTAAAGAAAGTCATCCAGAAAATTTTGGACGGGTACTTGTCACTTTGATCTTTGTGGTTTTTAAACCTCATCTAGGGATACCATAGATTTCACAAGGTCTTTACTCTCCGTACGATTTAGATAACATATTCCACGCTTAGAATTAAAAGGTTGTTAACTTGGGAAAGTTCTTCTGGATTGTCCTGGGAAAATCTTTGTTACCAATCTTACATGTAGCTACTTGAGCAATTACACACAGCTTGTCACTAAGTTGTTTTTTTGTTTAAGCATTGCTTTTATTGATTTTTATATACTCTTTCTTTTAACCAAACATTATAACACTGAGTTTTGACAACAGGGTGGAGTAGACAGGAGTGCGAAAAATGGTTAAACTAATATAACTATTTTCTCAACAGTGGAAACAGGAAAATTGATTAAGAGAAATGAGCACGCATGGAAAAATTGCCCAGTCTTCAGCAGAGCAGTTTTCTGGAGGTCTCTGGACCCAGGGAAGATGAGAAGGAAGGTTTTTTTTTTTTTTTTTTCTTTTTTTCCAGTAGTTAGCTGTCTTCCTAGATTCCTCACTTTGAAGAGTGTGAGGAAAACCTATGTTTGTCCCTTAAGCTTTCAGCTCAGCTAATGAAGTGTTTAGCATAGTACCTCAGCTATTTGCTGCTATTTTATCCGCTATGCTATTGAAGTTTTTGGCAATTGACCATAGTGTGAGCCAAAAATCACTGGCTGTTAATCTTTTAAAGTGTCTTGTATTGAAGTTGACTATTATATTTCCAAGAAATATTCCTTAAACTGTTAACTGAGAAGGCTGTGGATTTAATATGGAAATGATGTTTCATAAGAATTCTGTTGATGGAGATTCACTGTTATCTTTATCTCATTTTAAGAAATAGGAAATATTTTAATGTTTCTTGGGGAATATGTTAGAGAATTTCCTTATTCTTGATCGTGGATATTATTTAATTACTTTGCATTAGAAAGTTGAGTATATCATACCTTATCTGTGTAGAATATATTTCCTTATTCAAAATTTCTAAAAGTTTAAGCTATATGAGGACTAATATTTTCTCTATATATAATTTTAGACATTTCATACCTTCTTAGTATGGCAAAATGCCATCATTTACTTTTAAATTTTGACTTTATATGCTATTTATTAACTATTTGGTTAGCAGTACTATAATACTGGTAACTAAATATATATTTCAGATAGATGAAGAAGCTAGAAAAAAGGCAAATTCCTGACTACCAGTTTATACAGAAATGCATTCTTTTAGTTTTTAAAGTAAAGGCAAACTTAACAATGACCTGTACTCTGAAAGTTTTGAAAACGTATTCAAACAGTTTGAATATAAATTTATCACTTAATTCAAAAAATATATAGCAACATCTCGAGGCCCTAGCATTTCTCCTTGGATAGGGGACCAGAGGGGGCTTGGAATGCTGCAAAAAAAACAAGGAAAAGTCACCCAAGGGATGTCAGCTTTTTATCCCTCTGCATGGCTTGATTTTCCAAAACCATAATTTGCAGAAGGCCATAATATAAGGCGGCCACACAGGGGCGAGGTCCCTCCCTGCTCACAGGTTTGGCCCCTTTCACAGAGTAGAACCTGGGTTAGAGGATCGCAGAAGATGAGGGGAAGGGCAGGAAAGATGCCTGTTGGGTTTTTAGCACAGTTAATTTCATTGGGATTTTGAAGCATTTCTGTCTGAACTCAAAGGCTGTTCTAGTCTTGGTGGGACATACTATGGGTGGGGCAGAGAAAGATACTGTAATGAAACCAGTTAGTCAATGTTGTCTTAAATATCGCTGCCAATTCTGCAAAGTTCCTTTTTATGAACATTTCTGTTTAAGCTATTTCACCTTTGTTTTGAAATCCTTTCCTTCTAAGTAGAAAATGTGAAGCTTGTGTAAAAGCTTATAAGAAAGCCCCTCTCATTTTTTTCTTTAAAGCTTTAAATGACAAATCTAAGTAATTAAGGTTGTGAATTCCTATTTTTGCTTTGTTTTTAATGAAAATAAAATTTTCAGAATAAGATTGTGTGATAATATTTAAATGGCCAAAATAAAACATGATTTTGTGCAATTAACAAAGCTACTGCAAGAAAAATAAAACACTTATTGGTAAAAAAAAATACATATTTATATGTTATATATAATATATATGTATTAAACATATAGCATTGCTAAGATTTTTAGATGTCTTTTTTGTATCTTTTAAAGGTTTTGACCTTTTTATGAGGAATTATGTATGTATTATATTCACTATATTAAAATTGTACTTTTTTACTATGTGTCTTATTGGTTCATAGTCTTTATTTTGTCCTTTGAAAAAACAATAAAAGATTTCTGAACTTCACTTATATTGTTTCTCCTTCCTATACTGTTACAATGCATTTTACTTATCTTCAATTCAATGTAATTTGAAACACTAACTCTGCTTCTCTCTGGCTGGCAGAGAAGTCCCTCATCCCTAATACTATTGCCTTGGTTCAACCTTTCTCCAAGCTCACTTCCCTTCCAGTTACTCTGTCACAGAACCAACAGCCCCTGGGGTCTTTAGAAAACACAGATAGAATTGGATTTCCCTATATAAATTCTTAACTGGCTCACTGTTTCCTAGACATGAAATAAAGGTTGCTAAGCATGACAGATGATATTCTTTCTGTCTCCTTCCACTCCTGATCAGCACTTCAACTTCCTTTGCCCCTCAAATTCACTATAGTCAGGCATTCAGTTCCCTAACTGGGCATGCTCTTTCCCAGGCCCATGACTTTGCATTTGCTAGGACCACTACCTAGAAGGCACTTATCCCTCTTCTGCGTGTAAGAGGAGGTTTATTCATCCTTAAGAACTCAGCTCAAGCTCAAAGTTCGTGTTTTCCTTGATAGAGCTCATGGCTTCCGTTTTGATGCTCCCGTAACATCTCATTATCTGAATTACAACAAAAATACTTCATTACTCTTATTTGTTTATAGGTTTCTTCATCTATTCTAGCTCTCCTAAATCAATAATTATATTGTATCTACCTCTGCAGCCCCAATGTAGCCTTAATGCATGACTTAATGAATTAATAAATTATCCTGATCTTCAGGCTATCAGTTCAATAACCTGGCTCATGGTAGGTGGTTGTTGTGTTGCTGTTTGTTTTTTTTGTTTTTGTTTTCTGAGATGGAGTCTTGCTCTGTTGCCCAGGCTGGAGTGCAATGGCATGACCTCGGCTCACTGCAAGCTCCGTCTCCCAGGTTCAAGTGACTCTCCAGCCTAAGCCTCACAAGTTGCTGGGATCACAGGCACCTGCCACCATGACTGGCTAATTTTTATATTTTTGTAGAGGTGGGGTTTCACCATGTTGGTCAGGGTGGTCTTGAAGCTTTATAAGGGCAGGGACAATGCTTATCAGCTTCATCTCAGTTCCTAGGACATAATAGGTATTCAAATAGCGAATAATCTAGGCTAAACAAATCCCATTGTCACTCTAAAATTAAAAGAGCAATTTCATTTGAATATATATTCTTAGGTATTCATACTTAAGATTTCCCTACCTAAATGACAAATGAGGTTCTGTCTCATCCCAATCCTGATCAGTACTTCAAATTCCCTTGGCCCTTAAATTTAATATATAAATACCTAAGAATAGATATTTATAAAAAAAATTGCTCCTTTATGAAACACAAGAAAATGAAAGAAAGAAGATTAATCACATTAGTATGTATGTACATACATTCACACTACAGTTGGATTATATTACACATGCTTACATAGGCATGTGCTTGTATAAATTACAATACGCTATGAGTCTTTTTAAAGAAGCTCTGGAAACTACATATTCTCTTTATATTTTCTGTATATAGAAAATAAATTATATAGTACTTATCAGAATATATGAAGCATTTTCCTTTGTATTAATATTCATCTATCAAATATTAATTTAATTACATTATTGATAATCTTGTTTACATGCCTATTGTCTGTGCAGGGTCCTTATGATCTGGAAATTTAAAGATGAGGAGCTTTCAGTCTAAGTTATGGTTTTCTGCTGCAAATATACTTAGTTTTCCCACAGAACAAAGATTTTCCAGTAAGGAGAGTGGAAGAAAGGGGAGAAGAGGTGAGGGGAAGAACTAGAAGAGAAGGCTAGAGGAGACAAAGATGAGAGGAGGAGGGTGTTGGAAGGGCTTTTGGCTTGTGGTTGTTGTTGTTGTTTTTCTGCTTTCTATTTTCTTCCTTCTCTCCTTTTCCTTCTTCTTCTCCTCCCTTCTCTCCTCTTGCCATTCTCCTTCTCTCCCACCATCTCTCATTTCTGCTTATTAGTAAGAAGTCGAATAATTATATTTAAAAGAGTAGGAGAAGAACCCAGGTGCCCCAGCAGAAATCACAGCAAGCCATCAATACCAACCACCTCTCATGTGAATTAGGCCATTAACAACTTGTTTTATTCTATTATTTTTCCTATTTAAAAAAATGTTGTGGGTACTTATTAGATGTATATATTTATGGGATACATGAGATGTTTTGATACTGGCATGCAATGTGAAACAAACACATTGAGAATGAGGTATCCAACCTCTCAAGCATTTATCCCTATGGGTTACAAACAATCCAATTACGCTCTGTATGAGTTATTTTAAAATACACAATCGTTATTATTGGCTATTGGCACCCTGTTGTCCTACTTTTTACTTTCATGCATTTCAGCTGCTTCTGACTGAATTAAAATGAGTTTAGCAGAAGAACCTCAAACTAACATACAGAATTATCAGAAATAATAAATTAATATTTTAAGCCACTATGAAGTTGACTTATTACACAAGAGAGGATTAATGGTACTTGGTAACAATTTAATGTGGTTGTAGGCTCTAGAACAACATATGTTAGAATTTCTCTAATGAATGGAAGCTAGGTAACTTTCATACATTTAGATTTAACAAATGATATTAACCAACTTAATTTAAAACACAAATTTTGAGGCATGCAAAACATTGAAGCGCTTGTATGTAATAGCACCAGGAAGACACTTCCCCCTCAACTCCTTCACCCTCTCCATTCTCCCTTCACTTTCACTCCATGCTTCACCTCTGAGCAGTAGACAGTAAAACCTCAATTAATTTGAGTGTCAGAGTAATTCATGTCTGACCAATTCTTGTCAACTCACAGTTATGCAGTAAGCATTTGGTTTCAGCACTTATAGAAAAAAATTTTGATGGCTAGCATTTTAAATTTATTGATTAATGTACTTTAAGAAACAGACTAAAAATTGTACTATCCTTAGCATTTTCTGTACCAATTGCTTTTATGATTGATTTGCAGGTGGTAGTCTATTTCCTTCATACTTGAAAGAAGGATTTGAAAAATGTGCGTTTAAAATGTTCTGTGTGAGGCAGAGAAGAGCTAGTCTATGTCTTAATTTTATAGATAGCAGTCCTCCAGTCTCTCTAGATATTTCCTGTTAAAATAGCTATCATAAAATGTGCTTTGGGTCCTCGATAATTTGCTTGCTTCCTGCATGACTCTGCTATTTATAAGATGACTTAAAGAAAAAAGAGCTAAAATAACTTAGCACCCCTCAACACGCACATACATAAACCCACAATGACAAAGTAAGATTAATAAAAAGGTTGTCAAGTTATTTTAAAAGCAAGGAACAAAATAACTCTTTTCTACTTCTAGCATTTATTTAAATAATAATCCTGTATAATGCTTTTAACTGAATACGTTATTAAAAAATATATTTTAACCATTTTTGTACACTCAATTTATCATCACCTGTATTGCGTTTCTCACCACGGAAATGGAAGGGAATGATGCAAATGACAGTAACAGCAGTTAACAGCACAGCTCTCATCATAGTAACAAGAGTAGAGTATTTTCAACATCCTGTTGCTTTACACAAATATTTTAGGCCTAATTTTTAAAAATAAATAATTAAATGACCAAGTCACGCAAAGAGAACTTCATAAAACCAGTTCAGGCTTAATCAAGTGAGGCCTAATCAATATTTTTGAGTTAAAGACTAGCAAAATACTGTTTTATATCAAATGCTGACTGATATGCTTATGAAATTTTGATGACTCCAGAAATCTGCTACTATTTCCTCATGAATTTTGCTGATGATGTGTCTTTTGTGACAAGCCACATTTGTTGATTAAGGCAATGACTCCATGATACTGTGCTCCAACCTACCTCTTTCCTGGTATCAACCCACTCAGAAGCACTATTACTGCAGAAAACTTTTCATACAGTTTTCTCAGAAAGATTAGAAACTTTTGGGAAATCTTACTAATGAACGGGTAAAGAAATCTGGATAGTGTTAAGCAGGGAAAGAAAAAGGTGTCTAGTGAAGCTAATAATATTCTCAGTAATACTGTTTGAGGGTTGAACAGAAAGCAAAAGATACTATGCATAGTGTTAAAAACCATTATATCTTGCTGTGGAAATGGTTTTGATCTTATGTTTGAATGAAGATGTATCTGACTTGAGAATTCACAATATCTCAATCTCAATAAGGAGGAAAGGCTGTAAAGTCATTCTGCAGAAGGAACTAGGAAGAAGCCCACTCTCCTCATCCTGTGTCCTGGTGGGCTTCTCTCTGCAGTTGACTCCACATCTCAGGGAGAAAAATTTTTTCAGTTTAATAAGTTCTACTGCTAAACTTTAATTTATAAGAATAAATGGGGTGGAGAAAAATAAGAAATACATTCATCAACTGAAATTAAGGCTAGTGAGGCAGGAATAATTTTATATATGTTTGTAGAAAGCCAAATGAGAAGATAGACCTGGGAAGGCACATCCACGAAGTTGGGGGTGTTCTGGAGTCTTTCACAAGTTACAAGGGCTTTATATCACAGAAAAGCTTAAAATAAGGGCGAAAAAACTCCTCATACCAGAGTTGTATTCTTTTTTATTGGAGTGTACAATACAGAAATTAAAATCATTAGCTACAGATTACAGCATATAGCCTAAATATCTAAGTGCAAAATAATCAATAAAACTTTTTGTTTCAACTAAACTTAGAAATAAATCATTGTCCTGTTTAGTGTTAGTAGGTTCCATGTTAATTAGTACATCAATCAATTGAGGAATTCACGATAAAATACTTTAATCAGAGACAGACCGCCACCATCAAGTCACGGAAACTTTTCAAGGCAAGTTAATTTGGAAGTCCACTTACTTATAAAGTAAACTGTCAAATGTGGTCTGTAGATTACTGCATTTAGAAACAGGACCTGAGAATTTGAGCAGACATAATAGATAACTATTAAACAATAGGGAAAATTGGCCCGAAAACAAAAACATGATTCAAAAAAATTTACTATATTCATATTTTTGATAGAGAGTTATTTTGAACATTTGATATTT